TACAGTAAAAAACTCACAAACAATCACATCTAACTTTTTTACTACAGTAAAAAACTCTCACATACAATCACATCTCAACTCGAATTCTAAACTCGAATCAGCGAAACGAACGAGGCCTATATGTCCTTATCACCTCATTTGAGATAATTGCCATATATAGAAGAAAAAAAAAATCTAACATAAATGATATCCGGTACCGGTAACTTCAATTATACAGTGTTCAATCGTTAAAAGGGAGTGGCGAGAAAAAGAATGCGATCAGCGATCACAACCTAGTCAACGAGTCCCACAAAGCAATCATTCCATGAACTAAATAGATTTCAATGCTGCAACATAAAACGACCATTAATGTATGGTAGCAAAGGGAAAAATACGAGGCAGAAAAAAGTAGTTCGAAAATGTTTTCAACGATTTAGTAGTCTTAGAATCAACCCGAAACGCATAACATTACCAAAACGGAAATAGTTGCAAAAAACTAATTTCAGTGTTCACGACTAAACAATTTAAAACAAAAAAACTCAACACGGTACTAATCCAACCATTTTCACTCTATAGAAAATAACAGGCTTGTCTTCCCTACTGCTGTTTGATTTCGGTCTTCTTCTTTTGCCAGAGCCTGTCAAGCGCACTGTCAGCATCTCCCTGCAACACAAAAGGAGAACAGAATTAGTCACAGAAAGAATTACATTCAAATACAAGATAACAAGAAGAACATTCATGGTCCAAGATATGAACTGAAAGATAAACTAGATATGAATCTCGTCAATAATAAGCTATATTTGAGTTTGAAAAATAAGTCCTACAGTATTGTTCGTAAACAAATAACCACCCATGTCACAAAAACTCCAAACTTTGAGAACGGAGTTTGTTCCAAGAGTCAAATAAACCATATCACTCATTCACTCTAGAAGATGTCCAACACTTCAAATCAGCCGAAAGAACAATTAGTAGCAGAAACTAGTTCCGAACACTAGCTAAGTATAATATAAACTTTATGGTCCAAGATATGCCCTAAAAATACACAATGATGCCAAGAATATAAAACTAGACAAGAATCTTGTAAACATGATACAACAACTTTTTAGAGTGATATATATACAACAACTTTTTAGAGTGATATATATGACTTACAAAGTTGTGCCAAAACAAAAGCCTACAAAAAAACTGCGAACTTTGAATGATAGAATATTATGGCCCCATTCGTTTTGTTAGTTCGAATCACAATTCAAGTTTTTGAAAAAGTGTTTTCAATTCAAATTCAAATTTTTATGCTACGGGTGTTTTCTCTCCCACATATTCACTTTCCAACTCGTGTTCTCAATTCGAACGAGTGAAACGAACAAGGCCTATGTCTTCCAAGGGCCAAGAACGCCATCATTCATTCGTGATTCGCTCTAGAATTTAAATAAAAGTCCAATTCAATCCAGTAAATTCAAAGTAGCCAATCCTTAACATGTAAATGACATAAAATACAGGACCCAATATCTATCTAAATATGGTACTACTAATTAACCAATAACTACTGGTGTTTCGATTAAAGAGACGTTACTCATAAGTCACCATTCAAACAATACTTTTTTCTCAAAAAAACAAAAAACAAAAGATTTTGCATAAAAACCATATAATGTCCTGGAATAGCTCAATATCACTCCAAAAGTCTGCACTCGATACCTACTTTTTTGCTTATCGTACAATGTAAGCAAATAACACAGGTAATTAATTCGTATATCAGAGTAATCGAGACCCAAAAAGGAAAACCATGAAAGACACACACACATATATATAGAGAGAGAAAAAAATATATATATAGAGTGAGAGAGAGAGAGAGAGGAAAGAAGAAGAACCTGAGCACGGACGAAACCGCAGAGAGCGAAGGTGGAGAACTGGCCAGTGTAGATGCCGTTCTCATCGAGATGGCCAACGTTAATCTGGACCGAGGCGTGGTCCTTTGAAGTGATGAGCCTGTTTGTCGCAGAGCTGAATCGAAGAAACCCTAATTAGCCATGAAAACAGGATCCAAAAATTTCGCAAAAAAAAAAAAAGAGTATTATTGAACGGAAGCAATGAAAGCAAATTGAATACCATTTTCTGGGGATGTAAAGCTCGGTGATGACTCCCTCTTCGTTCTGCATCTTGGCGAGTTAATGGAGTTCCTCGTCAACGAGAGTAGAGAGAGAGTGCGAAAGAGGCAAATAGCTAGGGTTTTTTCTCTGCGAAGCAGAGAATTAAGGAATATGATATTATATAGAGCGAACACCTGATGTGGATCTTGATCCGACGGCTGGGAAAGCCTTGCGATGGGTATCAATTCTAAATTGAGCCCATGTTAATAATAGGTGGCTTTTGAGGCCCATTTAAATAGGTGGCGTTGTTGGATATTGGGTAAATTGATTGGGCTTTATCACGTTTGCAAAAGAAAAGGAGAAAAAGAAAAAAAAAAGTAGGAAGAAAAAAAAAAGGAATTGGACCTTCTCTGTAATTAAGTTTTTTGTCTATTAAATTTATATAAAATCACATAAAAGTCAAAAAATATGCATATTCAACGGTTAAAAAAACCTGACCTATCGATAAGTCAATCTCCCAAAAAAAAGAGAAAATTACTGACTTTTACTCTTAAAAATAATAGGTCTGAATTTCTACCACTTAACTTGATTAATACCCTTTAAATAATATAGTTATTTTACTAAAAAAAAAATTAATCAATAATAAAAGATACTCAAACACTTTTAAAGATATTTATCAATATTTTTCTGCACATAAAACTTAAGAAATCTGACGTGCCTTTCCACTCTACCATCACTTTGGTGACATGAAGCAGACCCGATGGACGATGAATGGATCTCGATTGTGCAACTCCTTGTAACAAGGGGCTTTCAGGTTGAGAAATTAAGGGCTTGTTCATTTATATTTTTTGAGTTAAGGTGACTTTAGTTAGTAGGAAGATTTAAGTTAAGATGTATTTGAGTATGGTTTGAGTTGAGACTCTAATTTGAGTTTGTGTTTTGATGTGCACATTTTGAGTCATGGGTTAAATTGAGAATCTATTTGAGTTTGTATTTGGGTAGGTCAAAACTTGAATTTGTTTTCGGATAATATTTTAATAAAAATTCAAGGGTGATGAAAAATTTTAATATGGTATATGAGTGGAGTTTTATTCGTCTATTCGTTGTGAACGCATAGAAAAAAATCATCTCAATCAGAATTAAAACAAAAAAGTTATGACCTTTTTAAGAATAGAAAAAATATTGTTCATTAACTTAAGTTTGAGTTTAAAAACTTGAGTTGAATGGAGAACTTGAACTCAGATTTTAGCCGAAAACTCAAATTTTACAAAAGAACATGAACTTAAATAAAATTGTAACTTAAGTTCAAATTTTTATTAGGTTTGGATGTAAATGAACAAGCCCTAAATGTCTAGGTTGAACCTGACTTGATCGCTTCACTACTATAAAATAATAATAATAATAAATATATTGAAAAAAATAGAGAGATACCTAAATTTTTTTGGATGATTGGACGAAACACCCTGCCTTCAAATTCAAACCCTAACCAAACAATTCATTGGATTAGGAACATAAGAACTTGGTCCTGCATAGTGAATTGAAGTGGGTACAACAAGAGGGAGGGATAAAGTCGTAATGAGTGAAAGTCTTGGTGATGGAGATGAGATAAATGTTTGTTGCTAAATTATTATGGCCGAAACTTAGCACTAGTGGCATGGAGATGGAGCTTGAAAAGTCGACCATTAGAGATCTGTTTCACCAACTCGATTGCATTTCACGTGTTAGGGGACGTTTGGTTCATAAATTCAAAA